GGCGGGCGCGAGGCCAAGGCACCGGGGAGGGGCGGAGCGAGGCGCCGTGCGCACCGCAGGGACCAATGGGCTTGCAGCAAGTGGCCTGCGTGGGCGGGCCATAACGCTGATGGGCGGGGCAGGGGCCTCAGAGGCGGGGCGGGGCGAGACCGGTGCTCCCCGCGGCGACCAATCAGGATGCGGCCGGTGAGGCAGGGGCGGGGCTTGGTTCTTGAGGGCGGGGCTGGCGTGGTACCCTGCGGTTGTCCAGGAGCTGAAGTCTGGACCTCGCTGGTTGTGGTTTACGGTAGTGTAAACCCAAGAGCCTCAACACCGAGGAGAATACCTGCGTGGAGGACTCAAGCCTACTACGCAAGATCCCTTCGCACACCGGCGGGTGAGCATTGTTCACCAGCTGCCCAGAGTTGAGCATGTGCTCCAAGACACTCAGAAACCGAGACCTAAAACGAAGAAGTTACACGTCCAGGGATCCCGGTCAGTATTGGTTATCCACTGTACCCGCAAAATAACGCTAGACTGCTATTTCAGCCTGATGGTTCTTTTTCCATCCATCCAACCAGATTTTTGGCTTTTTCAGGAGCAAATCTCTACTGATCTCTTTTAAAGATACTGCCTCTGGATTTTCAGCAAAACATCAAAGGCCACATTTCCTACAGGATTTAAATACAGTTGAGGAAAGATGCCAAGTCCAAGTTATTACTAAACTAAACGCAAACACGCTTTTCCTAGGCAGAATAAAGCAAAAGATTTTTGTGTCATGTAACTCACAAATGTCATCCTGGATTGTGTTACTTCTGTAGTTCTTGTATATAATCTAGGACTTAGGTGTTTAATAAACACTCGTTGCATAAATTCCTTTATGAAGTATGGGACTATGCACGCACCCTAACAAGCAGAAGGGAGGACACAGAAGGGAACAACTCTGTAAGCACCTGTCCCAGAGCTAAGGGATGTAGCTCAGCATTAGCCTTGAATACACAAGGCTCTGGATTGTATCCCCAGCATCACATGAAGCAGGTGTAATCCCTACATTCCAAAATGTCCCAGTTTTGCTTTGAGAATGATAGGACATACCCATGGTCCCAAGCAGAAGGCTTCCTATTTCCATCCAGACTGGATTACATAGTAAATCCAAGACCAGCCTGAAGTGAGAGCCTGTCTCAAAAATAACTGAGGACCTAGGATGTAGTGCAGTGTCTGTCCTGCAAGTGCAACTTCGTTTCACTCTCCATCAGTTAAAAAAAAAAAAAAAAAAAAAAAAAAAGGCTGGAGAGATGGCTCAGATGTCAAAAAGCACTGGCTGCTCTTCCAGAGGACCCTGGCTTGTTCCCAGCATCCACATGGAGGCTCACAGCTATCTGTAACTCTAGGTCCAGGAGATCTGCTTCCCCCTTCTGGCTTTTCCGGGCACCAAATATGCAAATGGTGCACATACATACATGTGGGCAAAACACTCATACACATACATTTAAATATAAAAAAGATCAAGCCTCCATATGTGCTCTACTTGGATGGAAACTCCACTGCCATGTATGTATTCATATACTTTGGGTTTTGTTGTTGTTGTTTTGTTTTTGAGACAGAGTTTCTTTGTGTAACAGCCCTGGCTGTCCTCGAACTTGATCTGTAGCTCAGGCTGGCCTTGAACTCACAGAGATCTGCCTGCCTCTGCCTCCTGAGTGCTGGGGTTAAGGGCCTGTACCACCACACCAGGCTTATAGGCTTTGTTAAATTCTCCTTGCCTAAGCACCTGCAGAGGCTCCCTAGACTGGGGAGATCTTGTAACTTGAGGATCCTTTTCTCCCTCGGACCAGGACTAAAAACCCACTTCACCAAAAATAGCAAATAGACTGAAAGAAGCCGGCCAAGAGAGAAGAGCAATTCAGGACGTGGGGGCTGTTCATGAGGGACTCCATAAGTTCTGATTTGTCCCTAACTGCCAGGATTTCTGTGAACCACTTCTAACAGTGGAAGTCATACCCCACCATCTAAGAGTGCAAAGCAAACACTGCATCACCAGAACTAAAAGACCGAAATGAGCTATGTAAACATGGACGTGTGAAGTCCTCAAACACTCTCTCCTCCGGTAAGTTTACTGTGTTGAGTTGCAGAAAGGCCTCAAGCTGCTGTTACATTGCACCTGCAGAAAGCTGTCTTGAGAGGAATGGCAGACTCCTTGTGAATGTCTGCTCTCTTCTGAAATAAGGTCTGTGCTTTATCAATCATTTGGTAAAAAATACTGAAGCCAAGGGCTAGTCTAAATAAGCTCTAAAGCTTTTACTTTTCTGTTCTTAGTTGACTTGAACTAATTTTGGAAACCACATGGCTGACCAATACAGTATTAGTCATCCACAGCTTTACTTTAGAAGCACCTCTGGCATGTGGGTCATGGTGACAGTTGCTGAAGTTACTCTTCAGAGGTCTGATGGCCACTTTTGTTGACAATGCCTCCCCCTTCAGTTAGGCCTGCATAAGTGCCTGAGGGGTGACAGTTTGATGACAGTGTCCTGGGCCTTCACCCTCTGAGCACACTAATGCCACCATTTCCTTACCGTGTTTCATAAAGAGTCACATGGGCAGACATGTCCATGGGGGGTTGTCTTGATTGTTTCAGTTGATGTGGGCAAACTCAGCCTGAAAGAGGGCGACACCATTTCCTGGTTTGGAGCCCTGGACTGTATAAGAGAAAGTGCGATGAGCAAGGAGTATGCATGCATTCATTTCTCTCCGCTCTTGCTATAGGTGAAAGGTCCAAGCCCACCTCTGGGTTTGAAAACTCACCAAAACCCACCAATCCCTGAGCCTGAAAATCCACTCCCCTGGCCTCAAAATCCCTCCAATCCTTGGGCTTGCCTTGAAATCCCACCAATCCCCACCCTGGAAAACTCTGCCCCAGAAGAAGCCTTGTATAAAACCTGCCTCCTGCTCAGTTCCCTGATACTTCTCCCCCAAGCAGAAGCAGCCACTTCTGTGTCCTTACCAACAAATCTCTTTCTTGTATGAGGTCTGTTGTGCAGTGTGACTTTGATATTCCTTGGCTCCTGACTGCCAGGGGACCTTTCCCCTCAGAGCTGCAGCACTTCCACTTAGCAGTAGATATGACGTGACTAGTCACTCCAAGTTCCTGCAGCCTTGACTTCCCTGATGGACTGTAACCTGAAATCCTAAGTGAAGGAAACCCTCTCTCCCCTAAGTTGCTTTTTGTCAGGGTGTTTTATTTCAGCAACAGAAAGGCAACCAGGACACAACCAATGCCTGAGAGATAATTTGCTTCTGGCAGAAGCAGAAACTTTTCCTTCTGTGGTGGAGGGTCTAAACACACACACACACACACACACACACACACACACACACACACTCAAAGGGAAGGAGGGGAGGGAGGGGAGAGAAAGAGTTTCAGAAGTGATATGTCATGACTTGACTATTCTACTGGTCACGTAGATCAAGTCCGATACAATGTTCGAGGGTATTGCTCAAAAACATGAATATTCACAGGGTGGTGGTGGCACACACCTTTAATCCCAGCACAGGGGGAGGCAGAGGCAGGAGGATCTCTGTGAGTTTGAGGCCAGCCTGGTCTACAGAGTGAGTTCCAGGACAGGCTCCAAAGCTACACAGAGAAATCCCGTCTTGAAAAACAACAACAACAAAAACCCATGAATATCAGAAGATGGGGATCACCAAGGATCATCTCGAAGGCTGGCTACTACCCTTACTTACTTAGTAATATTTTATTCTAAATTAAAAGGGACCTCAGATTTCTTCTGTGTTTTCACTGAGCACCGCAAATGCAAACTGCAAAAGCTGTGCAATACAGGTAACTCGGACACCAGCGGCTAGGCAGATGGCTCAGTTGGCAAAGTGCTCGCTGCACAGGCATGAGGTCCTGGGTTCGATCCCCAACACCCTGAGGGGAGACAAGAGAGCCTTTGGGGCTCACTGACCAGTCAGACAAGCCAATCATCAAGCTCCAGGTTCAGGGAAATACCCTGTCTCAAAACAAAACGAAACAAAACAAAACAAAACAAAACAAGGTAAGAGTGATGGAAGAACACACTTGACATTGACCTCTGACCTCCACAGGCACCAACACACTTGGACTCGTACACACGCATACATGAACACACACAAACACACATTTTTTTTAAGATTTATTTATTTATTATGTATACATTGTTCTGTCTGTACGTATCCCCACAGGCCAGGAGAGGGCACCAGATCTCATTACAGATGGTTGTGAGCCACCATGCGGTTGCTGGGAATTGAACTCAGGACCTTTGGAAGAGCAAGCAGTGCTCTTAACCTCTGAGGCATCTCTCCAGCCCGACAAACACACATTTTAATATGCCTTTCTGGGTACCACTCATAGTGACATTCCCAAGAAAATGAAGCACACTTTTCGTATCAAGTTCACAGTGGTTTGTATGGTCAAAGTGTTAGCATAATTAATAGCAAGCAAATAACACACTGCCTTTATGTGTAATATAATTCCACGGTAGGCTTGGGTAATGAGCAGGCTTTTCATTCACGTGACTCTTTAGTGGGACATTTGCAAGTCAGGTGAAGCAAGGGAAAATTCCTGGTTGCGCTTAACCACCCTGAACACTGACAAACACCTGGCATCCTGCCCGTGGTCAGACATGACGTTTGAAATATCCAGCAAGCAGGGTGGCATGGACTTAGAAGCCAGTCGGAATGAGTGCTAGCTAATGGGTATATGGGCACAACTCCGCTAAACAGAGAGTCTGCTGGTGGCAATGTCCTGTTATTGTAGACATCAAGGATTCCTCCTAAAAAGGCCCCTGGAGAAAGGCAGCTTCCTCTGAGAACCAGTGATTGGCTACCCAGGACTCCACCCTGCAGCCAGCATTTTGTGACCCAGTAATACCTCAATCCTGCCAGTTGGGTTTTATTTTTCTGTGTGTGCATGAACGTGTGTGTGTGTGTGTGTGTGTGTGTGTGTGTGTGTGTGCGCGCATGCATTCAGGTGTGTGCGTGAGCATGTGGAAGCCGAGGGTTTCATCCCCAGATATCCTCCACTTTGTTCTTGTTCTGCTTTGATTTGGGGTTTTGTTTTCTTAAAACCTGATCTCTCCCTGGGACCTGGCGCTTGCCAATTCAGTGAGGCTGAACGGCCAGTAAGCCTCAAAGACCCGCTTGCCGATCTTCTCCCGACTGTAATCATGCCTGGCTTTTCTACACGGGCTCTGGGCGTGGAGCTCAGGTCTCATGCCTATGTGGCCAGGACGTTCCTGACTGTCCTACTTCTCCAGCTTCTGATTTTTTTCTCCTTTGACAGAGGGGTTCACCAGAAGCTCAAAGTCACACAACTAATGAATGAAAAATGTGGGATCTGAATTGAAATCTCTCCAGTTTCCAAGTTCGCTCTCTACCACATTATGATGCTTCAGTTCATTGGTACTGTGTATGGACACATGGGAGTCAAGGATCTCACGAGAAACCGAGGACAAGAATGTCAGCCCATGCAGACAACACACTCATGAATGGAGTTCCCAAGTCTCCACAGCACCCTAGAGTTGTGTGGAAACAGAGCTCTGGAACCAGACCAATTACGGGTGCCCTGGGATCAAATTCTACCTCAGCCACTTCTACCTCACCCAATATGTCACTTAATCTCTGTGTGCCGCCTCGCCTCCTCCTCCTCCTCCTCCTCCCCCTCCTCTTCCTCCTCCTCTTCCTCCCCCTCCTCCCTCCCTCTCTGAAACAGGATCTCACTCTTTAGCCCTGTCTGGCCTGGAACTACATTCATCAGGCTGGCTTGGAACTTGCGGCAATTCTCCCGCCTCTGCCTGCTGAGTGCTGGGATTGAGGGTCCACCGTCATCTTCTTGAGAGGGTTACCACGAGAGTACCTGTGGCGCCTGGTTGTTGCCCGGGCTGAATTAGCGGCTGCAGGAGAAGCGGCCCACAGCTGTGTGTTAGGGCCGCCTCTCCTGTGTCTCGGCTCTCCTCCTTCCCAACCACATCTCAGTCCTGATTCAGTCACCCTCCTCACCTTATGACTTGTGCTTCCTCTTGTGGCACATCTTGTTCCTGATTCCCGAGAACGGCAGCCTCACTTCCCCACTGCTGGCTGCACTATTATTTCTTGGCTTAGTCGTAATGAGTTCTAATTCCCGTCAGTGCATTCAATCCCATGCGGCCTCAGTAAATAACAATGGCGTAGAGCTAAACTCAACGATTTGGAGATATCCTGAGATCTAGTAATAAACAGGTGAAGAAAAAGATGTACAAGCATGTCTACAATGTGGTCACACTAGAGAAAGAGACTGTGTGTATATGTAAATTCTGCATATAAACTATAAGTTTTTGAAAGGATCTTGCAGTACCAGGATAATAGCCTTCTAATATGTCCTTTCCTAATCCACAGAATCTGTAAATATGTTATATTACTGCTGAAGACCTGCTTTGGCAGGGTGGTTCAGGTCCCAAAGAGGATGTGTGGAGTTGGCTAGGGGGGGCGCCCCCCTCCGGGGGGGCACGACACAGACACTATCTGAGGGTGAATCAGGTTGGCTGCCAGCAGACTTAACTGAGAGAAGATTACACCTTTTATACTGTATAGCTGCACAGGAGACAAAGAGCATGTGAGCTGGTGTGTGAATTGAGATCAGGGGTTGAGGAATCTAACATTGACCTTGACTATCCTTTACCTAAGCACATACAAAATTTCCCAAAGGGAAAGGCATTAATATTGTGAAACATTAAAAATGAAAGTAAAGCTGGGCGGTGGTGGCCAACGCCTTTAATCCCAGCACTAGGGAGGCAGAGGCAGGCGGATCTCGGTGAGTTCGAGGCCAGCTTGGGCTACAGAATGAGTTCCAGGACAGGTGCCAAAGCTACACAGAGAAACCCTGTCTCCAAAAAAAAAGGAAGAAAGAAAGTAAAAAGGTGTGGAGAAGTGTGGTCGGCAATGTGGAAATGCTGGAACTCTGTCAAGCAGGAACGGTCACCATGCGGTCCACGCCATATTACTGTATTAGTTACTTTCCTGTGGCGGAGATAAAACACCATCATCAAAAACAATTTATGGAATAAAGCATTTGACTTGGTCTTATGGTCTCAGAGGGAGAAGAGTCCACTGTGGCTGAAAGACATGACAGAGAGTGGCAGGCACTGGGCAGGAGCAGGAAACCGAGAGATCACACCCTCCAGGGCAAACCCAAGCAGAGATGGTGAACTGGCAGAGGGGAGAGACCATGAAAGCCTGCCCTTCATGACCAACTTCCTCCAGCAGGGCTGTGTTACCTCCCCAAACAGCACCACCAGCCGGGACCCAGTGTTCAAGTACCTGAGCCAATGGGGGACCTTTCTTATTCAAACACCAAAGTTACAAAGAAAAAGGAGGTAAAATTTCCAATGGGATGGAGGTTGCAAGTCAGTTGACCTTCAAATAAGCAAATTGTGTTGGATTTTGTGGGTAGATCCAATGCAGTTACGGAGGGTGTTCACAGTGGAAGAGGGAGGCAGAGGAAAGTCAAAGTGAGGTGACCAGGGGTGGGGTTGGCCTTGCTGACTTTGAAGATAGAGGCTGGAAATCGAGGTCAGGCAGCATCTACAAGATGGAAGAGCCAAGGGAATGATTATTTCCTTAAGGCCTTTCTAAAATCCTGATTTTAGGCCAGAAAGGCCACTCAGGGACTTGGCCTTGCAGACTGTAACATAGCAACTGTGTGTGGAGCCCCTTAAGTTACAGAAACTGTTTGTATCAGAAATGGAAAATCACCACTGTAGATGGAGTTTTCCTGTCCCGACTGGCTGGTCCTAAATAAACACACAGAGGCTTAATATTAGTAATAAATGCTTGACTGATAGCTTAGGCTTGTTACTAGCCAACTCTTACATTTAAATTAACCTGTTTCTATTAATCTGTGTATTGCCACATGGCTCCTGGCTTTACCTGTTCTTGCTTCCTGGGAAGCTGGCTAACATCTCCCTGACTCTGCCCTCCTTCTCCCATCATCTCAGTTTGGCATTTCAATCTAACTTCCTGCCCAGCTACCAGCCTGTCAGCTTTTTATTAACCAACGAGAGTAATACATATACATACACAGTATACAGAAGGATTATTCCACAGCATTTCCCCCTTTTTGTCTAATTAAAAATGTTTTTAATTTTTATCATAGTAAGATTATATACAACAAAAACAGTAATTAAGAATTACAGTTATTGGCCGGGCGGTGGTGGCACACACCTTTAATCCCAGCACTCAGGAGGCAGAGGCAGGCAGATCTCCATGAGTTTGAGGCTAGCCTGGTCTACAGAGCGAGATCCAGGAAAGGCACAAAACTACATAGAAAAACCCTGTCTTGAAAAACCAAAAGAAAAAAAAAAAAGAATTACAGTTACAATATCCGGTTCATTTGTATTTGACAAAATTAGAGAAAATACTCAGTTATCTATCTTATCTTGGTGAGTCTAAAGTTTCACTGTAGATGTAACCAACCATCTTATTAAATAAGAAACACAGAACCAATGCAAAGAAGAAAGCCAAAAGGTCAGAGCTAACAGCTAAAACCTTACCCTTCCTCCTGCAGTGGTCCTACCTCTCCGAACCAGAGCTACTTCCTGTGTGTCTGTCTTTTTATAGTGTTTCTGTTCTGCCTTCTCATTGGTTGTAAACCCAAACAAATGACAGCCTCGTCACAGCCTGTCTGTATAGACCTCCAGGTTTTCTATGATTGGTATTGAGATTAAAGGCATGTGTATCCAATGCTGGCTGTATCCCTGAACACACAGAGACTTACCTAGCTCTGCCTATCAAGTGCTGGGATTACAAGAGTATGCCACCACTGCCCTGCTTTCCTATGGCTTGCTAATAGCTCTGACCCCCGGGCAACTTTATTTATTAACATACAAATAACGTTTTAATACAAATAAAATATCACCATATTTCACATCTAATTTATCTTTAATCATAACTAAGAAAAACTATAACTATGACTATCTAGACTTCAACTCTGTCAAAGACCCCAGAAGAATGAAATGCTACCTAACAGCAGGAACATCTCTCATAATCCTTTTATTTTATTTTTACTCTTTAACACTTTTCTTAAGGTATAAATATCATCTCAAAATTTATAAAATTAATACATATATTTTAAACTTTTTGTCATGATATTAATGGTCATATAGAGTACTAACTAATTCTAGAAAAAGGCTTCATCTAGCTTCCTGTACATGATTTCAAGTTGAGTCTTTATCAGGTAACTAGGAATTAAGTTTTTGTACTCTGGATGTACTTAACAAATTGTAGTCCTTTACCCTCTTTGAGATCTGCTTCATATGACATTTAAAATGTTTAAGTTTTCTATAGTGAACTGTGAACATTTCTAACAGTGACCTTGAAGTCTCCCAAAGGATGATGGGGCCCCACAATGATGATTCCATCTGGATTGTGGTAACGGTAACACCACTAAGCTAACAAACACCACCCAAAGACTGGCTTTGGACTACAAACGGCCCAGGGCAATTTCAAGGTGGCTAGCTGAGATGGTCCAACCTCACAGACTACTCTAGCCAAGACTTGACATAAGCCCTGCACTTTCCCATGACACAGAGACTGGACAACAAATGATACAGCTACCTCTTCCAGGACTTGACAATTATCTCATTTTTTTTCAGGGTCCCCTAAAGATGCTGTTGCCCCAAGACAGCAGGAAATAATTTTAAGAACACAATGCCCATATTCCCAAGACGGTGGGGTGGTCTGGTTTTTTTGTTTTGTTTTGTTTTTGTTTTTGTTTTGGGGGGGGTTGGTAGTACAGTGGGTTATAGATATTTATCATTGTTTTGGGGGTTGGTTACAAGCTGTTATTGGTAATGGTCAGGAAAAAAAGCTGAACAAAGGAGATTAGATTCAGGGATCTTGTTCTGAAAGGAAAAAGGGGGATATAGAAATGATAGAATAAAAGGGTAGATTATTGAATCTATTTTTAAATCAAAAAAGAACTACTAGTCTTATATATTTTACATTGGCATGTATTTTTGTATATTGATACAAATTTAAGGTTATTTTTGTTAGAAACTATTGTATATACATTTCTACTCTTATTCAAGGTATTGTACCTATACAGCTCATTTAACAATGTAATGTCGAGCCGGGCGGTGGTGGCGCACGCCTTTAATCCCAGCACTCGGGAGGCAGAGCCAGGCGGATCTCTGTGAGT